GTGTGTAAAAGTTCAAACAAAAACACCCTGTATAAATACTTGTTGGATTTCATCTTGGGAGTTCTACTTTGTTCATTTCTATGATATGATCGTTTAAATCATTCGTACCGAGTTTGCTCCAAATGAAATACTATGTTGCATATTTCTTATATAAATATTTGCTCGATTTAATTTTGGACAATCTATTTTGTTCAATTCTATGATATTATTGATTACATCATTCGTATCGAGTTTGTTCTAAATGAAATACTAAGTTGCACATTTCTTATATAAATATTTGCTCGATTTAATTTTGGACAATCTATTTTGTTCAATTCTATGATATTATTGATTACATCATTCGTATCGAGTTTGTTCTAAATGAAATACTAAGTTGCACATTCCTTATATAAATATTTGCTCGATTTAATTTTGGACAATCTATTTTGTTCAATTCTATGATATTATTGATTACATCATTCGTATCGAGTTTGTTCTAAATGAAATACTAAGTTGCACATTCCTTATATAAATATTTGCTCGATTTAATTTTGGACAATCTATTTTGTTTAATTCTATGTTCTGATTGATTAAATCATCGTATCATTCGTACCAAGTTTGTTCTAAATGAAATATAAATATTTCTTCGATTTAATTTTAATTTGTTCAATTCTCTAATATGACCGATTAAAAGATTTATAATGATTCGAAAAGCTGTGATGCAAACGTTAAGAAAACAACCCGAGGCACGAATATTTATTTATCACATGGGAATGCTCTATGTATCACTGGTGACACGTGTGCCATAGGTTAAGAATCGCTGGAATACATTGTTTCTATCTCATGAAAATTATAAACGCTGGCAAATGGTGGCATGGTCAATTTTGACCCAGAGTATATAAGTTTTTCTCTTAATTACGTAGCTTCCAGCAATTAAATAAAATAAATTGCTATTAAATTAGGAACAAACAGAGAGCCTATTAATTCTGCAAGAAATATCTTCAGAAATCAGTTTTGAAAAATTGTCTAATGAAACTCAGAATTGTTATAAACATCGTCGATACTAAAAGTCGTGAAAACGGTCCGCCGTCCGAGGCTTAACCCGAGAAAGATAACCTACGTCGCAGAGGCGCCTGCGAAGACTGTTGATTTTTGTTAATTTTTCATAGAGGTCTAGTGGTTTAAGTTTAAAATTACTTAAAATATAAAAAAATATAATATAAATGCATTTTATTTTTACAATAATGCCAAACCTTTAAAATGACTAGATTAACTTAAATAAATATCCATTGTTAATATAAAATTGACGCCTTAGAAAAGCATGCGCCTCTGAAGCGTATGGTTATCTTTTACGTACGTTGTCATATGGTTATCTTTCTAGAGTTAAGAAAAGAAATGAACGTCTATGAAGTTCCTTCATCTCTTGCAGTCGATGTGCAAGATTTTTATTTCGCTGTAAAATCCTTCAGCCACTGATTACCATGCAATTGAATTCGTGTCTGCGGTGCAATCGATAAATTAGTCAACGATACGCAACGTCGGTCGCGGTGCAGTAACGACCGGGTCGAGAAATTTCGCGATGCGTTCTTAATATCGCGAAATACGTCCCAGCTTCGCGTGGAACGACGCACGCATGACACGATATTACATATTCGATCGAAACCGGAAATAATTGATTACCCCGCTTAGAATAATGGCATTGGTTCGGTATTACCGTGGACGCTCGTGGCGGTCTCGCTTAAACAAAACAACCCATTAATCCAAGGTTATTTGGGAGCAAATCGATAGTTCCCATCACAAGAATGAGCAAACAATTAAGACATCGGTTCAATGCAGGATTAATGAAAATGCATAGGAACGTTGCAGTTGCTCGAATCAAAGTAATCGCGTGCAAATTACTACAATTAATTTAAGACTGGAAATAATTCCGTGGAGAATCCAGCAACTATTACGCAACGGTATATATTATATAAATACGTAGTAGTTACGTCACCGCTTTAATTCGTGCCGCAAGTTCGCAACCGAAAGGAACAGCAAGCCATTTTTTATACGATAGCAAAATCGCGTATTTGCATTTCAAATCGCAGCCGAAAACTCTCAGACGTCGAAGGACAGAGTTCTGACGCGTCATTTAATACCATAGCCGATCGCATCAGAATCTATTTTCGTAGCGAACACTGGAAAGTCATTCGAAAACGATTTATTGACTCATTGTTAGGTTCGTTTCTCTTTTCTTTTTTTTTCATTACGCACAGCAATGGAAGAAGTCGTCTCGGTCACAGTTCAATAAACGAAGTGGCAAGAGCTTGTTGTCTGCGCCGGAGAATTCGCGCGTTTCGTTGAGAATCTTCATCGTCAAGAAAGAAATTGCCAGCAGCCGTGTAATTAACAGAATGCATTACGCCGTATATCGCGGACGATTGCACAGTTCTGTCAGGACGTATCGCTGGATCTCGTAAATGGAGACCATTTATTATAGTCGTCGGAACGCTTTTTTTTTTGTTTTCTTATGCACAGATTGAACGTCTACGCATTATTTATTGTGTAACCTACGCTCGGTGATGTCCATGCAACGAAAAGGAAACTCCCGTAATTTTTCCTACATTCTTGTTTCGAAATTCATTGAGACGTATAAAAACCAGAAATTGGTTAAATAGCGTGACGATAATGACGATCCTAATCATTCCGCTAAAAACGTGTACCGGGAATTACGGGAATCCTAGGTTCGGGAAAAACGATTGGCAATCCAGGAAATTCGTGCTACTAAGTGGAATCAGGATGAAGCGGCATGATTAACATAGCTAATGATAACCGTGCGATACGATTAACGAAACGAGTGACGCCGCGCGGTTCCCGCGATAGCGTTCATTACGTTTTCTCGGTAAACACGACGCGCGAAACGATCGTGAAATCGTTGCACAGAAGTTCAATGGCTGCGGTGATTTTGCATCGGCGCGAAAACGAGAGAGAACCCCGTAAAAGGAATGCGTGACATTCAAGCATCCGGAACAATTTGTTCGTCTAATCGCGAGCATGTAGAACACCGCGGTGTAAAATATTACAAGGTGAATGGTCAATGCACGAACGCAACAGCAATGTTGCAATGGTATAAAGGTTAGTGATAACAATCGAACGAGCATATCCTTGATAAACGCGGCGGATATCTGCGCTTACCGATGAAAACTTACGAAACTGGAGCAGCGTGTGTTGCACGCTGAAACGAGAATACCTCTCGGCCGTCGTTTATCTCTCCGTTTTAACACTAAACTTACCGAGCAACAACACTGGAAAACCAGCGATCCCTCATAAGAATGTCAAGACTGAATTTATTTGACTCCTGACTCGATTACTGGACTGCGGATTTTATGCATTTATGATGAAAATCAATAGATCAAATATCAAATTGTAAGGTCAATAGACGAATGTAATTATTGACTTATTTTAATTATTGAAAGAAGAAAGACATTTTCATCTAACTTTTGTGTCTTGTAAATTAACTTAAACAATTTTTATCTTGCATGAAGACTCGCCGTCTATTTATTGCAAACCCTGGCAAAAAGTATTCGAATACCTTTTAAAACGTATTAAGTTCTTCGAAACCAAACTTTTTTTTAAATTTTCGTTATAGCGTGATAAATAAAATTTCGTTATATTAACGCGAGTTGTGTATTTTGTTCGTTATTCCAAGTAATAGCAAAATTAAAATAGTGTGTTTAGTCCAGCTTTAAAAACAGTTGTTGCGTTTTAGAAGGTGTTCGAATACTTTTTGCCAGGAGTAGTAGAATTTTAGTAATTTTAAGTAGTAGTTTTTAATTAAGAAATTTATTAAACCGTTTCTCACGAAAATATCTTCACAATTTCAACAATTGACGTATGTCATACAATCTTCAAACGACTGTGACCGAAAAACTGGCAACACTATCGTGACCTAAAAATTTGAAAATATAATTTGAACATTGTAATTAATTTTTTCCTTTATTAGAAGTTGATGTCTCACTTCCCAGTACATTTAATTAATTGTTAATTTCACTTTATCGAAAAAGAAATGCAGGCCATTTTAAGCCAGCATGACAGCGGGGCGTTAAAATGAAAAATGTGAAATCTGTCGTTTATTGCACAGTTGATTTAGCGTTAATTGAACGGAAAATCGAGATCCCGTCGAGCGAACGTCGAATTCGTGGGAATCGTCGAGGAAGAAACGAAAAGACTCTTCGAAATCGCTGGAAAGCCTCGAGGAAAAATTCTGTAGCACCGCGTGCAGTTGCAATTAACGAGGAATTGCCCAACAATAAATCTTCACTTTGATTAATATCTGTGGAAAGTTGCAACACGTAGCATTATTCCAAATAAAAAGCTCCGAACACAGAACTTCGCTATGAACGACGAAAATCGAGACTTTTAACAGAGTCGCCACGTTGGTCACGTATGGGTGATACTAATTTTTAACAAGGTTTTAAAATCCGTTTTTATTACAATACATTATAAACACGCTGAATATTACTAGGATTTTAAGAATTTAAAAGAATTAATCGAATACTTAGTGTGCTAAATTTCAACTTTCCAGTTTCGGTTTCATTAACACAAATGAACCGTTTCTTATTTCACAAATATATAAATTATAAAAACACTTTCATGGAAATTGATTGAATAAATTACATCACTGAAGCAGCTAGCATAAACAAAAACTGTACGCATCTAAATAAATTGGACCTTGTCAGTTTTATGAGGCAACGCACATAGCCAATTTTATAGCTCGGTATTTTTAGTATTAATTAAATGACTCCGATATTGTAGGAATTTCTCAAGTTGATTTAACGTGTTAATCTAGTTGCACGAACATCGAGAGTTTGCACTATTTAAAAAAAAATAACACCACAATTATTAATTTTGAAGACATTTTTGAAGACATTCTAAGGGAATGGGAGAAAGAAATAAGAAGAAATAAATAATGTAACCGTACGTAAAAGCATCTTCGCAATCAAAATAATTATAAAATGAAGAATCCGGTTCGTTTGTTCCAGGGTTAAATCCCCGCAAGAAACTTCTCCAAGGTGAAATTATCGAGGAGAGTAAAAAAACGTTAATCGTCCGAATACCAGTTGACGCGATGTTGAAATGAGAATAAAAGGAAAAGAAGAAAGCAAAGACGTATGTAAATGTCGTCGGATCGGCGTTTCGGTTACCTGGCGGAAGTCTACCGAGCGAACTGGTTTTCCCTGTGAATTCCAGACGCTTAGTATTCGGAAAAATGAAGCAGAAGACGTCAATGTGAACGGGACAACTCCGACCGCGAATACTTGTTCAGAGAACAAGTCGTGTTTCTGAGGGTTCGTTCGACAAAATCACAATTTCGGAAAATTCACGAGTTCGCATTTAATCCCAACTGAATCCACAATGAATTCCCGCGGTACTATTTCGTCAGACGTCATCCACGCTAACGCGAAACCTGTTATCGCAGTTAGGAATAGGGTTAGAGGCGAACGATTATTCATCAATTAGGCTATCAATCATGCCGTGTCCTCGCTTCGATTACGTATAGTTTAATGTCTGGTTATCGCGATTTGATCGAACGATCCTCTCGTCGTCCTTACAAGATTACGAATTTTACGCGCGACGCGATGTTGCGGTCGCACTGCGCCGAACCGGCATTTTTACAACGCCAGATCTGGCACGCTGATATTATCCACTCGAAAATTGATTTCACGTCATAGAACGTTCGAGAAGAGCAAACACGTTGCACGCAGTAGCGTGAAACCGCGAAAATGTGACACGCAGAGACAGGTAAACCGGTAAGCGGATAAAATTCGCAGTTGAATAATTCTGCGCGAAGAATTTCAAGACTCAAAATAATGTGAACGTTTGCAAAAAAAAGATTCGACTGCAATACCCGTTCCGCCGTATTTCATACGATAAATTATTTAACGAACGCAGGAACAGCTCCGAAGAAGATATTCGAATGACATGTACTTAAAATACTTAGCGAATGCAGGAACAGCAACCTGGCCAGAAGCGGAGATATTTTAACGACTTCTGCATAGACGAATTAAAAACCGGCGGGAATTGTGTCAACGACGACGTCCATCGAAAACTGGGATGCGGTTGTTAGCATAACGGCGGACGCGCCGTTAACGACGCCCGAATACAGGTACACGCACGTCGATCGCTTTCTCCTTGCCGATTTAATTCGAAACCGTCGGATTAAGCAACGAGCGACTATGGATCAGCGGGCGAGATTCGGCCGATCCACGTGCTGCGCGTTCATCCTCGACCGCGGGCAGTCTCAAGGCGATCCACGGCAGTGATCTTTGTTTGACGATAAAACGCGGATGTCTCGAGGATATGAGGCCGGTCCCGGGGCATCCAGTCCGGGAGACAACGAAGCTGAGCCATCCAGCTCCGCCGGATTTCCCATTCTTTGAGTGCGTGGCCTTCGAGCGGCACGAGCACAACCGCAACGGGAAAAGGATCAACGTAACGAGCAAAAACGTCGAGCCGACGATAAAAATCGAGAGAGAACTGCAAACCTGTTCGACGGTGTTCCTTATCCACCCCCACCCGGTCACTTGTTTTAGATAAGCGCCGGCAAGAATATATACTTCTTCGTAGATCGTCGAGTGAAATTGTGCATTCCGGCCGCGTACTTCTCCCTCGTCGTCTTCGTTCGATCAGTGCTCGGGGAAAAAAATAATGTCGACGATACGATCCGCGACGGCGTTCCTCGCCGTTCTGTTCCTCGCCAATTTGGTCCGCTGTGACTTGGATTTGCAGATGCTCCACGTGGTAAATCGTCCTCGAATTAATCGCGAATATATGGATTCTCTGCGAATCTGCCGCCGGGCCGATTCTACTGTGAAGTGAACCGTAAATTAAGCTCCGAGTTCCCGGCTGATTTTAATCCTCGAATGTGTTTTTTGAAGGTATTCCGACATGGTGACAAAGTGCCGCATCGGGAGTTTCAAAATTATCCCAGTGATCCTTACAAGGACTATTCGTACTATCCCATGGGCAACGGGGACCTGACGAACGTGAGTATAAATTACAACGGACGATTTATTTCACGGTGGATCCGGGTCGGTCAAATTGTTATTATCAATTCCGCGTTAACGAACACCGAATAATTCAGTGTGGAGCCTGCGTGGATGCTTCGCGAACAATTGTCGATTAAACTTCCTTGTCTTTCGACAAGTACTTGTGAATTTTAGACAGAAAAACGCGTAGTACGTTTTTGAAACGTGCCACGAATATTCTGCACAGTATTTGTGGCATTCTATGAAATTCGCACAACGTTATACCGGTTATCAATATTCATTTCAGTTGTAGCAAGCTACTTCATTATTAGCCAGGCAGCGCTATTAGTTATGTTAATATTAACTATTGGCTATTTAATGACTAGCCTGCGGATATTTATGCAAAATCGGGATTCTCAAACTGAATTGTAAGACGCGAAAATTAAATACAAATGTGCTTCTTTTTTTAACAATTTCAATATATTGAAGAGAAGATAACAATGTTTATAAAATTTTTTTATCGTGTTTACACTTTGGTGTTTTACCATAAATGCACAAAAATCCGCGGTCTGGTAATTGCAACGACAGAATTCATTTTACAATATGTCTACGAAGATCTAAACGCGACTGACAGTAACATTGTTTCGTAACAATGACAAGGTTATTTTTTGATCGCTTTATACTCGATCTTCGTACGATTTCTGTTACAATGTAATACTTGTACAAAGGAGTCACGCGAAAATAATATCAAAAATTTCATAACACGTTCCGTGCCAAGCCGTTTTTCCTAAACTTTTCGCACGGGCCATTTGATATTTTGACTAAAGATTGATATATTCCATGTAATTATTAATTATTGTATTAAACAAGCTTATTTGCTTCGTTCTATACCGCATTTTTGTAATGCTTCATTCTTTAGATATAGTAAATTCTCCATCAGCTTGTAAATAAAAATGGACAATTTGGAAAAAGGAGATACGATTATTCGAGCTTTGTACTTCATTTTTATAGTTGTACAATCGGCAACTATAAAAATAAGTCACGAGGCTCGAATAATTGTATTTATATTTTTGCTTACAAGCTGAAAGACAATTGGGGAGAATTTACTGTATTCGTCAGTCTTAAACGTATTATAAATTATATATTTTCAAAGCAATAAATAAATATGTAAGCGCACACGTGCCACGGAACATGTTAATAAAAATAGTTTCCCAGATTTGTTTTACACGAGTCGAATAGTTTAAAAATCTGTTGATTTCCTCTGCCTGTCTCTTTGTACGTATGAAACCTCAACTTTACGTGCATTACGTCACCAAAACCTTTGATCAAATTAAGATAACACCAATTGTATGTATATACAATATAATCACTCGGACTGTCATCGGAATCGAATTGTAAGCTGTCAGCTCTAGCATACAAAAATATCATTCTTCGAGCCTCGTGGCTCGTCTTTATAGTTACTGATACCTCGTGAGAGAGAGAGATAGAAAGATAGAACGAAACTCAGATCGAGAGAAACTATGTACAATGTACCTGGAAATTCGTGATAAAAATTTGTTCAACATATTGGTAAGATTCTTCCAATTAAAATGAGACCAAACACGACATGCTTTACTTCATATTTATAATTACATCTTGATCGATCTTATTTTCAGCAATCAAAAATATTTGTTCAAACTGTATCACGTTTGGTTTATCGGATTTTTTTATTTCAATCGGAAAACTATCACAGTAATGTTCAAAAAAAGAAATCAGTTTTAAAATGTTAAAATTAAAAAATCTTATGTCATTGTATTACGAGTTGTCTTCCGGGAAGACTCTGCTGAACCTTATCATCAACGTAGCGAGCAAATCGATAAATTACAGAACCGCAACAATATCGCGATGTCAGTGATGATATACTAAAGTTACGCCAGGAAGAGAGACACTACTGTATATACATATATATATATCTTTTTTAAACTTAGACATTTATTTAGCGAGTCTCATTTGTTACCGTTTCTTCACCACTTCTTACCTGTCTATTCGACAGTCGTCGCTTTCTCTTCGATTCTGTGACGCAAAGGTTTCGACTCGTTAAGATACGAAAACGAATAAAAACTATGGTTTCGTACGTACACGTCATGTACGGCGCGAGCCGACAATAAGAAAGAAATCGAGAACGCCGCGTACATTATTGTGTTTCGCTAGTCTTCGCGAAGCAATTACGAGGCCATTAAGACAGACTAACGTGAACGGCGATTGTTTCATGCAGCAAGGTAAGCTGCGCGAGTACAGGATAGGCACAATGCTCCGTGAGCGTTACGATCAATATTTCGGGCCAGATTATTGGCCGGAGAAGATCTACGCCCGATCAACGGAGGTACCAAGGACTCAATTGTCTCTACAGCTAGTTCTGGCTGGATTATTCCCGCCCTCGGAGATGCAGACCTGGAATCCCCATCTACCCTGGATTCCGGCGTCCACGTTCTTCGTGCCCCATGATACTGACAATCTCCTATTCCCGCATCACTGTCCCAGGTAATTCTTCTAGTGACTTCATTCATTAACGGAACAATGCGAAACGTTCGCGCAGAACACAACGGAATATACAGCCGTGTAATTAAACACAATGGGAATTCGAATCGCGTGTAACTTGAGAGGCTGGCTCCGGGGTCTGTCAAAGGGACAACGAATTTCGGTTTTACCAGCGAATAATAAACCAAAAAGTACCTGTTACGGAAACGCCGCACGATTGTGACCCCAACTTGAAACAGCAGGACAAATAATATCATGGAAAAATGGACAGAGCATATGAAAGTGGATTCGTAAAAATTCGCGAACCATATTTTTGAACTTCGTTTTTTTATAAATACGCTCGTATAAATTATGTAACAATCGGCTGTACAAAAATATTTTTATTCAAATGCGGGTGTTTCTAATTAGGAACATACTGTTCCAAGTTGTGTACAACTTTAACTTTTTTATTTGTTCACTTTGGTTTGTGGAACAGTTTGCGTACGTGTTTTGTATTCTTCGTCCCTAATTTGGAACGGGCATTTCAAATGGAACACGGGGACATGATGCGAGCATGGTGTTCCATAATGTTGTCCTCTTTAGTTGAATTGTCCTAATTAACATTTAATATTCAACAATAACACTTTTCTGTTGTAACAAAATCGATGATAATCTTATGCCCTCTGAAAAGCGTTGCATAACAGGTACTTTTACCTTATTAATTTCTTTTTATTGGAGGAATTCAAGAACCTATTTTTGTGATATAATAAATAACATTAATTATTTAATCGCCCCGTTTTCTTATTTTTTCTCTTTTCTGTCCAAGAAATTCGGTGGGTCTTGGATTTAAAAATTGTAGTTTAAAATAGTACAATCTTTCTTGGCTAGTCCTTGACGATTTTTAATCGAGTGGAAAATTTTGAATCTCCCATAACCTATAGTAAATTAGTGATTAGATGATCGTGCATGTTTCTCTGTAATGCTACCTCGCAAACATGCGCAGTCTTCTCAAGCAATATTGTTCTATTATTTCTTGGATAATTATCTGATAAAGGTGTCGGGAACTACTATCAAATTTTTCCGATCTATCACGGAAGCAGATTCTGACTCAACCGAAACGGAAAAATATGTTATGCAATACGAATTATGACAAAACTCAATTTAACACGGTTGCTGTGTCGAAGACATGTTCCCACTTATTTCCACATTAAACTTGTTATTAGACTGCAAGTTTTTATGCAAAATAAAAGTTGTCTGCATGAATTGCAAGGAATAGAAACCGAGTATCAACTTCAACTCTTAGATTAAAAATAATACATTGACGTTTTAATAAAGCTTGTAATTTTTACACGATTTTGAATTGTAACTACCATATTTTGCTATAAATGCACAAAATCCGCAGTCCTCTTCTTATTATTATTATTTCCACAAGCATTAAAAAATGTAAGAAGTCACCGAAGGTTGAGGATAGAATTCTTATTATTATTATTCTTATTATTATTATTTCCACAAGCATTAAAAAATATAAGAAATCACCGAAGGTTGAGGATAGAAAGGCGTATAGATTGCATAACATAGAAAGCTATTCAAATCAAGCTAATTCGCGAAGAAAAGTCGTATTAATTGAAGGAAAATCGTAATTGCCAGGATAGCAGTAAACATGCTAAGAATAAATTCGAATGAGTTTGTCCTTCGACCGAGTACGCAAGATTAAAAAGAAATCAGGCTTGATCGATGAACATCTTAGTTCCCCAAGGTCATATCTTTCTCTTGTGGTTCAAGGTACAGGGAAGAATACGGCAAGTTCCTGAAACTGCAGAGCACGCAGGACATACTCGGGAAATACAGTAGCGTGTTCAATTATCTAACCCAACGCAGCGGGAAAGTGGTGAACACCACGTCCGAAGTGACTTATCTGTACAACTTGTTCAAGGAGCAGGTGATAACATAGTTATTCTACTTAATCGTTATCCCACTTAATCGTTACCCTACTTAATTCAATTATTACCCTATTTAATCGTTATTCTACTCAATCGTTATCCCACTTTATCGTTACCCTACTTAATTCAATCATTACTCTATTTAACCGTTATTCTACTCAATCGTTATACTACTTAATCGTTACCCTACTTAATTCAATCATTACTCTATTTAATCGTTATTCTACTCAATCGTTATCCCACTTAATCGTTACCCTACTTAATTCAATCATTACTCTATTTAATCGTTATTCTACTCAATCGTTATCCCACTTTATCGTTACCCTACTTAATTCAATCATTACTCTATTTAATCGTTATTCTACTCAATCGTTATACTACTTAATCGTTACCCTACTTAATTCAATCATTACTCTATTTAATCGTTATTCTACTCAATCGTTATCCCACTTAATCGTTACCCTACTTAATTCAATCATTACTCTATTTAATCGTTATTCTACTCAATCGTTATACTACTTAATCGTTACCTTACTTAATCGTTACCCTACTTAATCGTTATCCTACTCAATCGGTAGCCTACTCAATCGTTACCCTATTTAATCGGTAGCCTACTCAATCGGTAGCCTACTCAATCGTTATTCTACTCAATCGTTACCCTATTTAATCGGTAGCCTACTCAATCGTTATTGTACTTATTCGTTATCCTATTTAATCTTTACACTACTACTTAATCGTTGCCCTACTTAATCATTATCATACACAATCGGTATTCTACTTACTCGTTATCCTACTTAATCGTTATTCTACTCAATGGTTATCGCACTCGATTATCAACCAACTTAATCCGCCGTTGTCATACTGGGTCGTTCAGACCCAGTTCAGTTTTCAAACAACTATCACTCAAGAACTAGCGATACTATTGGAACCCAAAAATTTGACAATGCAATTTAAACATTCTAGAACATTGTTTTTTTTATTAGAACTCGATAACTCACTTCCAACTATATTGAATTAATTTTATTCTCCTCATAACAATATTCCTTTTTCGACAAAAATGTGGGAGCGGGGAGTTAATAATTTCCATGTCCCGCGAGTTCTAATTCAATAATTATAATATAATTCGGATTCCAGATCGCCCAGAATCTGAGCATCCCAGAATGGACCAATACAGTCTATCCAACTCCGATGAAAGAGTTAGTGGCGTTGGACTTCAAACTCAGGTCGTCCACGCCGACGCTGAAACGTTTGAACGGAGGTATGCACATGGCATTTTTTGTTACTCTTCTGGCTGCCAATGTGACAGTAAGGAAATCATGTCGATCGTTTTTTTTTTGCAGGCATGCTGTTACGAAAAATGGTCGAGGACATTAAATTGTACATGGCGGGCAAATTAGAGCCGTACGATAGAAAAGCTTTCCTCTTTGGAGCCCACGAAATGAACGTGGCTGCTGTCGCAAGAGCTTTAGGGTTGAATGAACCTGTCATACCTGCGTACGGGTCTACAATGATTTTGGAGACGCTGCGCGACAGGAAGAAAAGTTACTTCATTCGTGTGAGTATATTGACAATTTTGATACTTGAGAAGCAACTGCGATAACAATCCCTTATAGGAGACCTTATTTTTGGAGAGAAAGCAGCGTTGCCCTTTGAACCTTTGTTCTACATCGACGATTATTCATTTACTAGCAGCAAATATCATTATAACACGTCGGTGTTTACATTGATTAAATTAATTAAATTTCAGTATTTTTATACGTACATTTCTCGTCCGTAATTATTAGACTGCAGATTTTATGCATTCATGAGAAAAATGAGTAACTAAAATATTAAATCGAAGACATCAAAAGAAATAAATAATGCTGTCACACTGTTTTCAACTTATCAGAATTGTTAAAACGAAAAATTTACTTTTGTTTAGATTCTGTTCCTTACAATCGCCTTGCTCAGATTATTTTTATTTCACATAAAGATTCAGCAATTATTCATTTTAGAGGATGAGAGAAAAGAACTCTAAATTTCGATGACTGTAGTCGATGGAAACATTTGCATTAACAGTTCGACTTAATTAAATCAGAGATCCAAGATGTATGATACAGATTACTCTTCAAAGTTTATCGCATTTTGTGGATCCTAATTAGAGAATCAAGCACGTCAATGCAAAAGTTAATTTTCAACTGAATATTCGAAGTATTTTCTTCATAGTTAGAACGATTAGAAACTATTCGATTGCAATGATTCCTTAGAAGAAATAGACAAATTATGTTTATCGTATGTCAACATTGAACGCTTAAATATTGATGATAATAAAACAGTAGTTTATTCTGACTTAACAGAACAAACAAACACGCAGGTTACTACTAAAAATCATCGTCACGAGTCGGACCAGTTGAAGTACGACAGGGGGTTTAAACAATGATTATTTCTCGACGTAAAGCACAGTGAATTCTATCCAATTGTTCCTCAGCTTGTATAAAAAAATAGACAATTTGGGAAGAGGAGATACGATTATTCGAGCTTCTGGCTCGTTTTTGTAGTCGCCGATTGTCAACAACTATAAAAACGAGCCGCGAGGCTGGAATAATTGTATCTCCTCTTCCGAAGTTTTCGGTTTTTCTTTACAAGCTAAGGGACAATCGAAGAGAATTTACTGTGCTCATTAACGAAAGCGTTAAGAAAAGGGCGACGACATGCGCGTAAAACTGAGCTACTCGGATAATTACATGCTCCATTAATTTCTGTTCCGACGACAGGTTCTATACTGGACCGGAGTTTCGGAGCAACTGAAAATTCAGACGATGCCTGGTTGCACGGAACTTTGCCCATTGGATCAGTTCCTCGACATAGTGAAAGACGTGCTGCCAAGCGACGAAGAGTACAATTGCAGCCCCATCGAAATAATCGATAACACGGGCAAAATAGAAAAAGAGCCTAGGTGTTCCTCGGCAGCGAACGCGGCCCAATCGTTCGGCAGACCATGGTTCTATCTATTGCCACTTGCTCCATTTGTGCTCCTCTCCGTGCACAGCATCAACCGTTGATTCTCGCTATGATCCAAAAACGATTGTAACACCGCTGGTTCCGTTTTCAAATCTGGAACATTCCCTGGCATCATCGCGATCTCAGTGGATTTTTAGTGTTAGGTTTCTATCCATCCGGATGGATGCACAAATAGATTTATTTTTTCGTTCGATGCAGTACCAGAACAAAGGAAAAAGGAATACTCGTAGGTGATTCGCGCATGACAATAGATGGTAACTAAGTGTAGAGTTAACGGTTTCCGAGTTTTCGTTATATTTTAGACACTCTCGCAAAGTATTAGTATTATCTATCACGACATAAAAACGCAATCTCTAGTCAGAATTGTTAATTGTAGATCACGTGTCCCTGTCTCGCTTCTTTTACATTTTGAAGCCCGCCGAGTCCCGTGAGAGCACCTAACCGTGAGACGGATGCGAAAAGATGCAAAATTAATTCACGCTTCGGACACGAATGTTTTAACACTGTAGATGTATTTACGACGCGATTTCATCTAAACAAGACAAAACGGTTCGCATCGCTCTCATTCGCCGGGTCTCCGGTAAATATTCATCGCAGGAGGATACTCCGCAGATTATTATAGCATTCTAATTAGATCAAGACGAATCGGGATCGCGAACGTCCCGAAGAATAACGCCGTGTATTTGCAGGATCGAATTAACCCCGAACGAACTTCGGTAAAAATATTTCAACTGAGGACATACATATATTTGCAAATATTATTACTCTCGACTGTGTGTTACATATGCTTTCTTGAAAATAGTAATTTATTTCTGTATCAAATCAAATATCAGTTGAAATACTTAATTGATTTTGCAAATACATGATAAGTATGTTAAGATATGTATTTTATAATACGAACCTGAAATACTTAATTGAAGTAAATATTTTCTTTCTCGTGCATTCATTAATCGAGAGAAGCGTAAAAAAAAGGTTATTTTTAAAAACAACACGCGCTTGTACTTTCTCCGTAGATTCATTTTCTTTCATAAATAATGCAAATGGTAAAAAATAGAATTACAAATAATTAATATAAATTTAGAGAATACGAAGGAGAATTAAGAAAAATACTATTTCAAATAATTATTTCCGGTACATCCTAAGAAAATACTATTTCAAATAATTATTTCCAGTACATCCTAAGAAAATACCACTTCTATTATTAATTATCTTCACCACGACGTAAATAACTATTTTGAATACATGTACTTATCCCTATGACGTCAAATAAATCGTAAAATAATATTTCATACAAACAAGAGTATATCATTAACTGTTTCCAACACTTCTTCAACTATTTTTACCCAGATCTGATCCCGAACGTTCAAAAGCGCCGCCTAAAAATACAATAATTCGGCCGCGATCCGTTTAATCGGTTCGTCATTAAACCGTCGAATTTAAGCGAAACGCAATGGGAACGGAACCCGGTCTGAGAATCGCCGATTCGATTCTGCTATTTTCGTGCGGGTTAAAGGTTCAAGAACCCCTCCGGGACCCGAATAGACAAATATTTATCGATCCGCGTCGATATTTTCGAACAGCAGCCGGAAACGAGACGGAAGATACGGAGACACGAGTCACCTTTTATCAGCGCGAAATAAACGGAAGATGAGCGCTAAAAATAATGAAGACCTTTCCTTGGCGGTGACTTTTTACGGTCGAAGAACTTCAATTCGGTGCCAGTGATAGGCAGAAGTGGGTCCCTGCCCTCGTCTGAGTTAAATTGCCCGGCTCGATTTGCTCGCGATTTCGCGGGCGTACTAAACTAGAATAAACTGTTATCACATATTATTTCGTCATGGAAATAGTATCCACCGTTTTCTTGAGTAAACAAAAGTTCAACGCATCGCATGCCGGGCACATACTCGATAAAATAGCACTTTATAGAATAATATCCACCGCGGCAAAGCTCATCGAGGAGACCCATGGAACTGAAAAAAGTCAACATTCTCGGAAACAGTTACAATGATTTTTCCGAATCAGCTCGTATGCGATGCGTTAACGTTTATGACTAGACTACAGATTTTAAAATAAAATAAAAAAAACTATACAGCTGTCATTCAAAACAGTAGAAATATTGGAAGAACTGAACATTATTGACACGTAACATTCGACTTACTAGAAGTATTATAAATAAAAAGGAATTCCAAACTGACTCCTGTTTTATACGGCGAATGCAGACAATTTTTATTTTGCATAAAAATCCTTGGTCTGATTAACCCTCGCAAGGCGATGGCTAGATCAATTTTGACTCGTTCACTTGAATACTGAAATGTTCGGCAATTAAATAAAACAAATGCACAACTCTGAAAAGAATATCTCCGAAAATATATTTTTAAAAGTTGCCGAATAAAACTCAGAATTCTTCTAAACACCGTCAAATAGTACAGTCGTGAAAATGGTCCGCCGTCCGAGGGTTGAACGCGAAAGCAACGTACTCGTTCGACATTTTACTCTTCAACGTCGACGTATCGATCAGAAGATTCCGCCGCAAATTAGCGAAAAGATAGACTGCTAACACAAGGTTATTTTGCAATGTACGATAATAAAGAGCTTTTGATTGGATTCCACCGAGTGCTCATGGCCGGTTATGTACCCAGAAGATGCATAAACCTGGAGTTCCCTCGTAAAACGAGTTTGCATAACTTAACCAATTTCATGAAAACGCCGGGACGTAAAATGCGAACGCAGGGGATCGCGCGAAACCCGCGGTTTATTTTCCGGGCGTGCAAAAAATTGCAGACCGCATCGAATGCTCCGGTATTTTTCGAGAAGTGTGTATAATACGAAAATGGTTTACGCCTGCTCCTTTACATCCGGGACGCTTCAATTACGGCGCACGCTTCAAGCATGACTGCAACAGGATCTTCGAGCAGAAGACTTGGGCGGTTCTCGGGGAGAACGTGTTATACAATTCAGACAGTAATACGGTTCAAGCAACCTGCGCGCTAATTTGCACAAAATAGCGTGTGCACGCGTACGAGGTTCGCCGGCGGAGCCGCTCGAGCGTGCGGCTAGAGCAATTATTTAACTAGAGGCGCCCCTTCGGTTGATCTTTCGCGACGAAAACGCAATTATTTTCGAATAGCCGATCGCGTTAGGAAACATAACGGAGGCCGGATCTACGTAAACGCGTGCTACGTCGCGTGGAAGTGCCGCGAAATGATTCATCGACGCCGGAGTGCAGCGCCGCTTTTCGTGGCAATTTAATTAGCCGGCAGATTAAGGACGGCCTCTGATCGCGACTTTACGTAATCTTACATTTTTAATGACGAAAACTTGAGCCTCCTAGTTTCGCTAGACTTAATAAGTTCACCGCGGAACGCGCGAAACGGCGGTCGGTCTCATTAAAAGAAGTTTGTGGGAGGAGAGGGCGACTGAACGAAGAGCGAACCCGCGGAATTACGTGAGTAAAGACGAAGTAACTTGGATCGGATCAATCCGAGATCAAAGAAAACCGAATTAGGCCAACAGAAATATCGGTGTTTCGAGTTCGAATGAGACAAACGACCCGAATTCCATTGAAACAAGAGATGAGCACCCAAAACCACACCTATTCGAGCGACTTCGATCGAGCCAATGTAGAATCAAAAGATTCCAATCGGATCAAGCTAGAACAAGAAGACTTAGATTCGAGTCCAGCGGTGCTAGATTAATCTAAATCGATTCTCTCGGACCGAGATTAGCGCGATTTCAGAGTTTTTGTCCAAGAATAGTTTTCCTGGTTCCCGATCGCTTCCACTTGATTCTCCCAGTTCGGTGCTGAATTAATCACATTTCCTGGACTCCAGATTGTTCTAATTTATGCATTTGTGACGAACATAAGTAGATTAAATGCGAAATAGCAAAAACACCGTTCCTTTATTTTCAACTCATCAAATGATTCACCCCTCGCTCTTGTAACAAGTTTTTCATTTCTTCCAAGTTGAAATAAGATTTGATTCCTCTGTTATCAAAATCGTGGAACAAGAATATATTAAAACATTAACATGTCTAAAATTTAATTACGATGAATTTTTATTAGAAATTTGAATTATAATAGATCTTTGTAGCAATTTAAATTTTGATAGATTTTTAATAGAAATTTAATGGGACATTTTAAATCATGATACATTTTTCTCAAAAAAGAAACAAATATTGTCTCGTTCTATTTGGAAAATTATTAAAGACGGATAAGTGCTAATTAATTGTTAAAGAATTTATAGTGCAAAGGATTAAAGAAGCAAATGCACGTAGCTGTGGTGTATCCTGCATTGACATAGAAAATTCTTATATTCTCCGCAAAAATCCGTTTCGCTTGTTGCATCCATTATACATACGTATTCTAAAAATACAAATGTTAGGAATACCAGATATAGTAGTCCTTATTTAAAATGAACTTTTACTGGTCGCACACCTACGCGACACTTAACGAACATCTCCAGCCCGAAGACTTCGCGCGTGCCTTAATTAGAGGTACTCAACAACGTTTTCGCTTGCATAACAATAACCGACGAAGGAAATAAAATACACTATATGATAATTACCTGAGAACGATTGAATGAAGATCGCACAGCGTTCGGCGATGCATATAATTCAGCATCGAAATACATTCAATGAGAGTGTCGGGGGGCGGAGAACGTGTGGGAATATTCATTGAACGACAACGCAGCAGACAGTGACTTGTCAAGGCGGGGATTTCCCAATAGGCATGCGATTATTTGAAAGACAAACGAAGATACCGACTGGCGAGTAAACGCTGAAACATGTTGCGTGAACAATGACCTTGCATAACTCCTTAGCGTCGTTTATCACAAATCGTCTGCAATCCAATCTCGTAGATCAAATTAGACAAATTATTCAAATAATAGTTCATACCTGAATAACAAATAAGTACGCTCCCGAATGTATTTAAACACTTATTAAATGTTTACGAACACGTGTATTTTGTTAATTGGAAAATTCGACAGTGGCTCATAAGATTTTGCCTTAGTTGTTT